TCTGAACAAACTAAAAGGTTTGGACATGCTTGAACGTGCTCTGAATTCTGCACTGTACTCCCACAGGGTACATGGTGTTTATATTATGGGGTTTTTTCCATCTTATTTTTTTAGACTTTTTTTTGTTGTTAACTGTTTAATTACATTATAGTAGTGTCTAAATGCCCTCCCCCATTTGTCTGGAATTATGTAATAGGGCTTTTGTTTTGTTTTATTTTTCTCTAGTACCTTTATCTTTTGGTCTCTGTTCACACAGAACTGCTGAGACTTTGAGCTGCATTAACACAAGTTCTGTGGGTTTCAAGAGAGAACTAATAAACTTGCCCTGAGTTTTTGAGATGAAAGTTGATGTATGAATTCAAAGTAAGACCCCATTCACTATAATGCAAATAAGGGCTGTAGGGAGAAAATATTTAGCTAAAAGATTGATTCCAGGAAATTTGAAGAATCTTTCATCGAATATTGAAATTTTAGAAACACATATGTCTCCTTACTGTTTAACACTACATGTTTCTGCATGTTATTATTTATTTTCTTTCTTTTGTCTTTAAAATGCACAACGAGGAAGGAAAGAAAAAAGGAAGTTTACAGTAATCAAAAAGGAGAATAAGTGTCAGCATGTTAAGGTCATCTATTTTCATCCTTCTTTCCCTCACTAAGGGAAATTTATTTCTTCTGGGAACCACATGGAAGACAATTTTGAGGAGAGGCTTGAGTAAATTCTCCCACAGAATTTGGTAAGTGTAACCCAAAAAGCACATCTAGGTCTCAATTTTCTCTTCAAATTTACATACTTCTGTCTGGAATGTCATTTCCTCTATAATAAGTGGTTACTGTATGAAAACCACTGGGAGAAGGGCATTAAGGTGCACTCAGAATACAACACTTTCAACTATTAACTCTTAAGATTAGGCAAAATATTTTTATATGTGATTTATTTTCATCCAGGCATATTCCTCTATTAATCTAAAAGAGAAAAAATAGCAGCAAGCTATGGCCCAAAACCATGCAAACACTGACCACAGGTATTCCAAGAACAAACAGTAAAGAAATATATGACACATCTAAAACTAAGCCAGGGTTCATTTAACAATAATGAAAGAGAGACTTCAAGAGGTTAACTGCCTATATGCATCCACATTGCAGTTTTTTTCAGTTATTACATATGTATGCAAAATACAATATACAGTAGCAAAGTCTCACTTTCTGTCACTGAAGTTTTCATCTTTGAATTGCATATCTTTAATCCCGCTGGAGTTCCCCATTAGAAGTTTTTCTCTGCTATGAAAATCTAATTCAAGACAGGCAGGGTAAAGCAAGGAGAATATTTTCTAAATTTATGATCCAGTATTTTGTCTGCAGTGAAGAATGACAGAGAAATAGGTAATATAAACATTTAAGTAAATGAGTTCCTTTACTTAGTAAGAATCGCCAGTTGCAGGAGACTATTCATTCTGAAGATTTAGCCAAATATATATATTTTTAGTGTGTCCTATTATATAGAAGTGGTTTTAATATTCTATAGAAATCAGCCTTGTGAACTGTGTTTAAAAATTAAATATGCGCAATGTATAAATGTGGTTTATAGAAATCAACTTTCCTAAAGTTTTGAGGCACCCAGGTCAAAGTACTCTTATAGCAATTACAGCTTCTGTTACCCAGGGAAGAGGACACAGTCTCAAGCTGTGCCAGGGAGATACAGGCTAGAATTAAGGAGGAAGTTTTTCACAGAAAGAGTGGTCAAATACCGGAATCATCTGCCCAGGGAAGTGGTGGAGTCGCCATCCCTTGATGTGTTTAAAAAAAAGACTGGATGTGGCACTTGGTGCCATGATCTAGTTGAGGTGTTAGAACATGGGTTGGACTCGATGATCTTAAAGGTCTCTTCCAACCTAGAAATTCTGTGATTCTGTGTGAACATGTCACAGTGTTACAATATGTACCACTCCACTATCACCTTTTTCACCCACTGCTCATTTGGATGTTGCTGTCTTTTGAGGTATTGAAACAAGTTTTCATAAGATTTTTTTTTGTGTCCTGGATTACAGGACACCAAAAATATCTAGCATGCTAAGCCAACAGTGTCACCTCTGCGTCCATCTGGGTCTCTCTGATTGATTCCAAAAATTTATTAAACTAGATAGCTTCCAGTAGATAATTTGGAAAGGAAAAAACCCAAACAACAAACGAGCAAACAAAAATAAACCCCATCAAAACTAAACCAAGCCAAAATAATAAACCAAATAATAAACCTACCCCTATAAATTTTTGTCCTGGAAATGTCTGAGAAATTCTTGTGAATCTAGGTCTTGCTCTAATACTCTGCAAACCAAGTGAGTATGCTTTGCTGGGTGTCTGGACCAAATCCCTAAACATCTTCAAGGATTATTAAACCTTTTTTTCTTGGAAAAAACCAACTGTTACATTCTCCCTTTCTTCATCTGATGCTAAAAAAAAGGAAGCTGAGAAGAATATGTAGTCAAAGGTCAGAATTTTACTGAGGTGTTTTGGATTACTATGTTTTGCTGGTAAATTGGTTTTCTATTTCCTTCCATGTCACCCCCCAAAATTCATCAGAAACCTCCTAGAAGCTGACATGCCAATGTTAATTATTCAAACCAGTGAATATGAATGAATCATACCTTCTAAAATAACAATACCACTAGAAATAGTGAATTACAATTATTATATATTTTTAATTTGTTCAAGATAGTAGATTTTTATGAATAGAAACTTGAGACACTGGTATTGCTGTTTGACCCAAGTTGCTGAGGCTCCAAGAAACGCAGCAGATTGGCACTGATGGCTCTGGCTGAAGCAGTAGATGCTGAGATCAGGGAGATATGAGTGATTCTCATTCTAAAATTAATAAATAGCACACAAACCAGCACTGTCTTTAAGGCTAGCAGGTGGCTTTCAGCTTTTTCTTTATTGTGATGAGAAATTGGGAAATTTAAGGCTGGGCTGCTGCACAATGAGGTCTCAGCAGTTTTATTAGTTTCAGCAGCAGATGCTGTAATTTTATGAGCAGGAAAAAGAGGAATCTAACAATCTAAAATAATTAAGGGAAGATGTTTTGAAAAATAAAGGCTAACAAAATTAGGAAACATTTAAACAGAACATCACTGGAACTGTGAACTGAGGATTTTGGTGGTTCCTAAACAGCAGTGAAAATTGCAGAATTGTTGAGGGTGGAAGGGATTTCTGGAGGTCATGTAGACAAAATTCCCTGCTCAAACAGGGCCAGCTAGAGTTGAGGGGTTTGGACTAGAGGATCTTGAAGGTCTCTTCCAACCAAATCCATTCTATGATTCTGTGACTTGTGGTATTATTATCTGTTTATGTGGAAAATGTAAAAATATTAATGACAGGAACTGTAACACAGCCACTATCACTTAGAAGTGTGAGTGTTACAACGCCCTAAATAATCTTAGAGCAAGGCAGCATGGGGAAATTCTTAATCCCTTTGGATTATATGTTACTTTGGGGTATATTTAGGTGCACTGAATGTACTGAACAATTGCATCTGGTCAAGTACTTGCATGTGCTTCAAGGGGTGGTTATTAGGAACAGGCCAAAGGAGCTTCTCTTCAAAAAAAAAAAAAAAAAATAGGCTGGGCAGAATGCCTTCAGTGTAAAACATATAGGTTCTGTGGGGCTGTGGCTTTAGTAACTTAAGCCCCAAGGAAATTTGTAAATGTTGATCATGCCTTTTCACTCCACCTGGTAGAGTTCTGTTAATGTGAGTGAATGTTTTGCCCCAGGGCGTGGGGAAAAGATGAGGCCTCTGTAGTCACGTCCTATGGATTTAGAGTCTCTTCATGCCTGTTTGATGAAAGCAGGGTTTATATCTTTTTCTTGGCAATATATTTATTTATCATTCTCAAAATGCTCTGACACTAAGGCTGTATTCATATGTATTCAGGTGCATCTCTGTTTATTTATAGCTTAGGGTGGGGGGCCGAATTTCCATGATATTGAGAAATCAAGTGTGAGAAAGTCATTCCTGGCAGTTATCTAGGACTTCAGCAAACTAGATCAGTTGAAGCTACAGGGAGGATTTGCAGAAATTTCTGCTTACTAGGGAGCATGACTCTTTGAAATTAAATCTTTTTTTATTAGTTGTATCCAGTGTTTTAGAGGATAAAAATCTTCATTTGATATGTTCAATGAAAAACTCCTGCCCTAGTGTTTTCAATGTAAAAACTTTTTACGTAACAGCAGATATTAGTTACTTTATCAAATAGCTTTGGCACTAAAGTGATATTCAGAAAACTTTATTCTATCTCTTTTTGTGAAATAGGGTGAGAAGTGGCTCATAATTAAAAAAATGCTACACAATGTTTTTTAGATGCATGGCAAAATATCAATCACTTTTTTTTTTGGAGGATTATCCAGGATTAACTACTAAGGTTAAACATGGTGATTGTTCAGAATTTTAGCTGTCCCTTCATTTTTTGCCAACAAGGGGAAAATACTGCTCTTTCCTTTCTTAGAACATTGAAAATTAAGACAATTGCAACAACATGATATCTATTAAAAACAAAATAGAAAGGATACTGGAAAAATGAACTGAGTGCAAACAGATAAACTTTTGGAAATGGTGATAATTCCCAACACTTCGATTTTTGGGCATAGTTATGAAATGTGTTGCCATTTATCAACTTTTAAAAGTTTGAGGGGTTTTTTTTCATATAGAAAAATCTAGGGTGGTGCTTTTATGGTTTATTGTGGGGATTTTTTGTTTGGTTTTTTTTCTCTTCCTTTCTCTTTTTTAACCTGTGGCTTGAAAGGAAGCAGCAGTGAGAATGAATTTCATGCTAGTAGACACTTTTAAGACTAGATTTAGCTGCAGTCACATTAGCTTAGATAATGGGAGAATTTTTCTTCATTGAAAATGCTCCCTGTCGCTTAAGAAGAACTCACTGAGGCAGCCTGCCATCTAGCTTTTTCACAGCAAAATAGGCTTGCAGACTGCAGATGAGAGACTCGGGAGCAGAGACAATTTTAACTTAGCCATCCCTAATTTATCTCAAGCTTTTTCAATTCATCTTCACTGCTCTATGCACACTGGAACACCAGATTGTCAACCCCTGGGAAAAGAAAGCAGCCAGGGATCTAGAGAGCTGTCACATCCTGAGAAATATTTAAATTGTGCTGATTTTCTTCTGGAGTGCTGAGCAGAGGGAATGAAACTCTCCATCAAGTCATAGCTTTGCGGGCAATAGATCAGAGGATACTGCCAGTTTTCCTAATGGATTATTGTTATCGGGCAGGTTCTTCCTGAAGGTATGTAGTTACTCTCGCGATTCATTACCCACACTATTTATCAGGTAATGATCTAATGAACTGGTAATCCAGATACATTAAGAAAAATGTTAACTAAGTAGTCTGTATTGATTGAATGATGGCACTTTATTGCAGCATGTTTGCAGGTAAAATACTCTGATCTACTTACTGTAGATGTGTCGTACCTGCTGCCAAGTGCTTTGTCAGCAATCCCCTCAAGCAAAACCAATCCCTAGCCTTTAAACAAAAAAGCAAAAATCCATTGTGCTGCATATAATATTGCCACAAGTTTATGCTGATTGTCCAGAGAATGTTGTTTTCTGAAACAATAAATAAAAAATAGCAAAATCATATGTCTGATTTTAAATTTGTTATAAATGAGTATTAATTTTGCAAAAATATTTTCCAACCTGGATATATGCAGAACTACCCTTAAAGTACTGCAGATTAATTCTGGAGTTAGACATTTGCTTGTTTACTATAATGTTCCAACCTTTCACATGGGGAGTTACAATATTTCATTCTGAAAATCTCTGACAGATATGTGACAGAAGTCTGTTGTTGCATCTGTACTGCCACACTCCAGGAGCTTCTTAGAAAAGCATAAGGATTATATACCATAACTGGAGATTTAAAAATAAAATCTGTAAAGAATTTCTTGCCTTTTAAACTTCTGTGTTTATATGAATTACAGCCTGTTCCTCTTAATCTGAATTGCTTACTGCATGTCTGTAGCTTGTGAGGCAGCCTGACCTAAAAATGAAAGATCTCTAAATTGCAGAAGCAGCTAGACATTTTTGAACTCTTCCAAGCGCGGGAGTTGCTGCAGAGATGGAAAAAGCACTGCCACGTTTAAGTTAAAGTCCTGGCCTTGTTTCATTTCCAAGTTGGCACTCTACCTGAGTGCAAACTCTGAGACTTAAGCACAAATTGGCAGGTGCAGGGCTAAGCAGGAGTTAAGCCCTGAGAAAATAAAAATGCTTATCTGTAGCTTCTTGTCCAGTGCACTGGCTGGGCTGCTGTCATGCTACCAAGAGTAAATGATGTATGAGCTTGTCTCTGGTGTACTTGATAGTGCAGTGGATATGCTGAACTGGATTTTTAGTCACAAGATAGATGTTTGTCATATTTTTGAACATGCTGCTGACAGAAAGCAATAAGATAGAGATAAATACAAAGCTGGGGTATGAAGGGGGTATCAAAAGCCTGTATTGGTTAAAAGAAGTAAATGTGTGACAAGATCATTTTCAGTATGTTTATCTTCCTCTGTTTAAGGAATATAGTATGTTCAAGGCATTGCTAAAAATTACAGTAGTACATGTTGCTTCTGTATGTAACACCTCAAAGTTCCTTTCTCCTAGTGCCTTGGAAAGGCTGAAGAAAAAAGTGGAGAGATTGATTCTATTGCATTTCCAATGAACTCTCTTAAAACACTTCCTTTCCTATGGACCTCAGAAAGACTCAGGCAAAGACGCTTCCATTAAGCTCTCCCTAGAGGGTCCTACCATCATCAAGATATTTTTTAAAGGAAGTGTGTGCAATAGCTGTCTTTTCCCCAGTCTCTCAAACTTTTCACTTATACATACAGAGGCATCATAACACGCTTCTGGATATCCATGGATATTTCAGCATTTTGTGTAATCACTAACAAATGTCACAACCTAGAGGGTAATACAGGCTCTTCTTATTATATATTGTTCATATGAAAAACTAGCTTTTCCAGATCACATTCCATTTGGTCTTCTTTGGGTTCAAATATATGTTTAAATGTTTAGCTACTTTAACTACTAGCTTTTTAAATATAATTGTTTCTGATATATGTGACTGGGGAGTAACCAAGAGCAACACAAAAGTATGTTGATCTTTTCTCTAAAGCAAGACGAAACACACTAAAACTAGATTTAAATGGGAGGGTGATAATAAAGAATAGAAAAAAAATGAAGATTAATAGCTTTATGTTTCATTTTTACCTTTGCATTTTATTTTCCTTTTTTCTATCATGATGTGCAGTAATAGCTCTCCCCCATTCTCCTGCTAGACAATTCTGATGTATCCACACATTATGGTGTTCTCAGGTGGATATTTCTACTGCCTTCTGATATCCTTTTAGACTATTTTTGTAAAGAACTGTGTTACAAAATGTGGAATAGCATAAATGGATGAAAATAGTCTGGGAAGAAAGCTGAAGCAAAAATTGTTATGGTGTTAAATTTATACTTTGTAGTTTTCTGCCTGTCCTGGTTCCACTGGTATTCCTGTTCCACCTTTACTTTACTGTTCTTTCTTCTTTCCTACATTAAGTTCATAAAAAAAAAGAAAAAAAGTTATGCATAAGAATTTGCAGCAATGTAACAAATAAACCTATTTTATTTACATTCTTCAGCAATCCTTAGCCAACACTGGTTATCTCCTGTGCCAAATTTTGCTGAAGTCAGCTTATATGTTGACTCTATTCATTCCTTGATACCATAGGTTCTACTCCCTGTTCTACTGTGTTCCACACAAATCATAAAAACAAAAGGAAAAAATTTGACTGTTTTATGCAATGCTTCTGGTTTTCCCTCGTGTTTATTTAACATCTGAGTTAAGAATTTGCTCTTCTCCCAGAGTGAGCCTCTAGAAGGTAAAAATATTACCCTGAATTGATACAAAAAAGGCAGCTTCTTATTTGTGTCATTCTTCTTCCTTCTTACTTATTCTAGATTTGGCACTATGTTTGTGATAACACATAATTCTATGTAATGGATAAAAATAATATTTCTATGAACATGTTTTGGAAAAAAGTAACTAATGGTTATTTAAAATCATCTGTTCTTTGAACTCTAGCAGGTAACTTGTGGGAAAAGTGCTTAGAAGAAGAAAGACCTAAGGGCATGGATAATGACAAAATGAATGTTCTCAGGCAAAACCTGGGTATTTCCAAGATTAGGATGTGCTATGACCTGATTTATTTCTTCCCTTTTTATGTCTTTCTAGGTTTCAGGACTGATTTGCTGCTGTTCAAGTATTAATTAAATCAATTATTTTGTTTCATATGTATCATTTACACAGACCATTAACTAGAGGACATATTCAATTATATGTTAATTCTGCTAAGATTTAAGTAGCCTAATGACCTACAGAAAATCTGTGTTTTCACACACATAATTTCATAATTTTGAGTGAACAAGAGTGAAAAGATGGTTTTCCCTGAAAATCATGTTTGATTATTGTAAAGAAATTCAAGAAACCGTGGTAGAAATAAGATGCAAAGCTAGTTCACATTTGACAAGTTGCCTTATTTTGATTGAAATGCCTCAGCATGCTCTCAAAGTGTGATCCAGCTCCTTAAATTGTGGGTTACCTTGCCTAGCTACAGGGGCAAGTCCAAAGCCTCACGCAAATTTTGTGTTGTATCTTTTAGCCCATTATTTTAGTTATGCAAAATATATGAAATTTTAGTAAACATTAATATTTGACTGAGTAGATATATGTGTTCATATCCTAATAAATTTTAAAAAATATAAACAGGCACCAGAATTCACTTCTCCTTATTTACTTTGTCTCCACCTCTTGAGAGAATTCAGATCAAATAATAACACAATTTTAATGACTTATATTGTCCTAATAGACAAAGTATAAAGCAGCTGGTATTCCTGTTGAAAGGCACATGCCTCACAAAAATATTGAAAAGTATGTGATTAAATGAATTAATTTTGATTCACAGGTAATATCTTTCAGATTATGCATTATAAAGTTAATTTTAAAGTGTACACTAATTCTCTTGTTCAATCATTACCTTAGTTTAACATATTTTAAGTAAAGCATTTTGTTTTGAAACACTTGCAAAGATTTGGGGTTTTCTGTTTGTGTGCCTCACCCACTCTGCACCAATGAAATGCTATGAAACACATTTGAAAATCTGTAATAGCTACCCCTATTACATTTCTGGAAAACCCAAATGTTAGAGCAAGAAAACCTATATGTTTCAAAGGTAATTTAAAATAAACTTTTTACTGTAAATTTGAATCTTGTTCCACCTTGCTATGCAGTAGAAAGTAAATATGACTAAAAAAGTAAGAATATCTTTAATCTTTTCTTGCACTTTTTCTTTCTTTTATGCATTGCTGAGCAGAGAAGTTATTCTAAAATATCCTGCACTGGTCTCTTCTTCTTGTCAATAAATATGCAGAATTTTCTGCAGTATGTATTTTCAGGTGCAATTAAAATTTGGTTTGTTCGGGGGAATTCAATATTGCTTTTCTAACCTTATTCTGTCATTACAATTACTGTATGACATAGAGAGATAAATAACATTACTGAAGAGATTATAGTGATAGATCTTGTTCTAGAGTGTCTTTTAATATCCTGTTTTCCTCTTTCTTACACTTCTGGAAGTCACTACATTGAAGGCAATGGAACAAATGACAGTGAAATCAGATTCCTTATGTTTAAGTATTCCAGCTGACCCTTAACATGCACTAGCAATAAGTTTCTATCTTAAATTGTGTCTGTTAGTAAGGCTTTGAAAGGTACATGATTTGTTTGAACATAAAACTGCTTATGCTTTGCTTTTCCAGCTGCTGCTGAAGACTGGCAAAACTTTTCAAGAGTCCATAGCTTCTCAAATTTTGAAAACTACTTAATCAGAAGTTAAGGCACATGAAAAAATTATATTTCAAAAAACTGTGAAGAGTTCCTTGATTACTTCTTATTGTCTTTGATGCCCAAAACTTTCATTATTTGAAGTGAGTGAACTGTGTATTTCATATGGATAGTTTGAAGGACACTTCTGAGGTGTGTTGTCATCACAAAAATTTATATTGAAACACTTTTAATATTCTTTGACTATTTTGGAGCAGCAATTAACTTTAAAAAAAATTGGTAAGCATGAAAATTTTTGTGTGAAACAAAAAGCGTTTCATTTTGTCTGAAACAAAAACAAAAAGGAGGAGTTGCTAACTATCTTTGGTGAAGATTTACCTCCTTTCTCCAGTATTTCCTCTAATCCTATTTCATCA